AATTCATAACTCGCATCTGATAAAACAAACCCAGAAAAATCAAAAAAAGCGAAAATTTCACTGGCGCAATGGTGCTGCTGCTTTAAAATGAGATATTGTTTTGATCAATGTTAGGATCGCTTGTAATGTGTCGTTTTTTATAGTTGATGCGCAAGATTAAGCCTTCTGAATAAGCACTGAACTCACATTTTGCTCTCCTTTTTCAGTCACCGTACACGGACCTGAAACATTGTATATGGAGTATACACAATAATGATGATCAGAATTGTCATCCAGGAAGGAAAATTTTCGAAAGAACATGAACTACTTAGGATGGACCGTAAATACCTCAGTAAAGAATTATGTACACAGCAATCTACTGCACTAAACCAACAAGATGTTTTCATTCAAACCTATGAAGTCATGTTAGCGAAAACAATTCACGATCAAAATAATTCAATGAGATTCTGAAGCAGTCATTCAAAAAAATTTTTAAAAAGTGAGAATCTGACAATCGCCAATTAATCAGATTAAGTTTGTCTGCAGATTTGATTGTTGAACAAATAATTTCATTCCAGTAATGCAGTTTTCGCGAAAAAGGGAGGAGATCGAAGGATACTGAAATTTCTTACACTAATTCAACGAATTCATATTTCGTACTTATGACCATTCCATCGAAATGACACTACCGAAGAAGAGAGCTTTCTAAGTCTACATTCCGATAGAGATTATATGAAATACGAACGAGCAACATACCAAAAATCACGTTCTCAATAGGGCCATTGCAAAACAGAATCTCCTGGTGATCGCCGTCATCGTTTTTGCCGACAATCAACGCTTGTTTTCGTTGCTTATCGCCGAATGATGTTTCATTATCAACATTCACAGATTCTTCGTCACTAATAGCACTGTTGTCTTGTGTTGTTTGCATTTGTTTGGATAATGTTGATTGATCAGCATCGTAATAGCTATCCGATGAAGATGATGAATGTGCGCATTCATTGTTGATTATGAAGGTTTTATTCAGATTCGATTCATCTGTAAAATTCTTTCCATTTGAAACGAGAAAAAGTTCGTGGAGCCATTTTTACGTATTGTCCTTACAGAAACTATTTTTTCCTTTTTTTAATCAGCCTTTTGGCCAAAAATAGAATGAAAGCTCAACTATCTTAACACATTTTGAGGCAACGTGAAGTATTTTTAGTCAAATTGAATATTGCTTAATAGATAAGGAGATGAAAGATTTTAAAGTGAACGTACGGAGAACGATCAAACCGAATGAATACCTGTGTTTTCAAATGAACTGTCATCACTACTGCATCTTTCCGATTGCGTTTCTTCATACTCGGGTATCGGCGAGAGGCTATTCGATGCCGTGAACAACATTCTCCTTTGCTTGTTCAATCTGAGCAAATTTAAGGAGTTGTTACGTTGTGCCCACTGTTTACTGCCTTGTTCGCTTTTCGACCATTCACCCCAATCACCATCCCAATCCAATTCCGTCTCATTTTCAGCATCATCGTCGCTTGTTATTGTGCATGATTCACTTGCTGTGTCATTGGAACTGTAACGTTGTTGTGGGCTTAACGTTACCGCATCAGTTTCTAGCGATACACCGTACACAGTTGATGCGTTGCTCTCGCAGGCGATTGACCCGTCCGACTGATTTCCGAAATCATTGCCGCACTTATCCGTATCGTTTTCATCGACAGCTTCCCAACGTTGCCAAGCCGGACGACGTCTACTACCAAAATTGACCTTTGCAAACGGGTGATGATCACCAAATTCGACCATTCTTCACCGTTTAACTGCAAATCACCCATACTTTTGATCAGCAGATACCATAAACGTCTACATGAGCTCTTTACTGATTTTCTAAATAACGTTAGAAAGAACGCATCCTAATCAGTAAAAGAACCGACCGACCTTCTTGGGAGATACTCAACCGTACGAATGAGAAATGTGTCCATTTCAGCACATTTATGAAATGTTCTCGAAATTTTTACATAATGCGAAAGGAAATGAAAAAAAATATTCAATGCTTCTGTAGCGTCAACTACAAACCTTGCAATTTTACTAATTGTAAATTTGCTCTATTACAATTCACATCATCGCTTATGGTTCATTGCAATTCAAATAACGTCTCATTTGTTTGCTCGTTGATATGAACTTATCGATTGATCTGAAATGCATTGATCATTCACCAACAGTTAGCTGGCTGCCTCAATCAGCTCATGTTAGTTGATAGTGAGTATTATTCAGTTGTGCCACCTGCATAAGCAATTGTCACAGTGCATAACAACGATTGCCCATCAAATTTCTTGTCCGTCTCAATAGTGAGATAAACTTCAGGTTTAGTTCTGATCATTTGCAAGTGATTAACGGATTGACTGATTCAGGTTTGATCGCATCAAGAAGTGAATTGTGTTACTGGCATGGTGTCAGTCGACTGCATCAGAAAGATTTCAATCAACAATCGACATATTCGTGTTGATCGATTTGAAGAGAATCAGAAAAAAGCAGTCAGATCTAAACTGCACGAAAAAAAACCTGTAGAAAATGAAACGGAACAGCAAAACGAGGTTAAACTCAAAGTGCTTTTTACCAAGTGTTGATGATCTTAGACAATGCTGAAATCAAAGAATCTCTTCCAAATGATTCAAAATGACTCATCAGGTTTAGTTTGAGACGACTATCGCTGCGATAAATCCACTCAACATAAATCACTCAAATTTAGCACATCTGTTGAAAATGATCCGGAGTCCCCTACGGTTTAGTTTTTGCGATTCTCCGATAGCTGGTTTCATTGTTTCGAACGAATCATTGCGAAGAACAGACAAAGAAAGTGTTTTTTGAACGTGCTTTCAGCTGTCAACAAATTTCATTTAATGATCAATTTTATTTATTCGCATTCGTCTTTAAACAATTCATTTGCGATTTGATCTAATGTTATGTCAAAACTCATTTTGTCTACTCGAATTCGTCATTAAATGCGCATAATTTGTAATTTGTTTCATGTGCTCATGGACTGTCAATGCACAATTGTACACATTGTAATTAAAGTTTATCCAGTGTTACGCTTTATACTTCAAAACTTTATTCTTTTATGCTCTCTAGCTACGAGTGCTTCCAAGATCGTCAGAATCACTCAAAAACTCTTCTGAGCATTCAACCTGAAATCGCTTCGATCCGATGGATGAAACATATTTGTAAATCGTGCTGATGTATAAGAGCAGTCTGATCATGCATTTATTCAATAAACAGTTCTTGACATAGAACATACAATAGAGCAATAATCAAAGAATGCAAAATCCGGAAAAATCATTTGAAAAAGTGCTCTTCAATATGATGACACACAAAAAATGACGAAGACGGTGATAGAGGAGTACGCAAATTCACGAATAAACTGTACAAATTTCATTTGGATCGACAAATCGCATCATTTGTTCAAACGAAGGCGAGTGGACATTTGAGAATGGGTCACTTCTGAAGGTGATACCATACTTTAATTGGGACACGCTAAAGAATTGATGGAATCACTATGCGTTCAAGATTTTTAATGCTCCATGCATTGATCAAATGGAATCAAAAATAGAATCTTTTTGTGATGTTAGTAAGTTTGTTCGATGAAATGAGCACATAAACGGAAATGAAAGACTTAGGGTGTTTGAAGGTTGAAGTGAACTGTTCCCTGGTCTATTTAACGTCGACTACCATCCTCGAAGAAGACACCGCCGTCCACAGAGCAATATTTAGGACAGACACCACGCTCGCCAGGCTTGCCCGGAGGTCCCTGAGGTCCTTTATCACCTGGTTTGCCATCTGCACCAATCGCTCCGTCCAAACCATTCTCACCAGGTGGACCCTGTGGACCTGGTTCTCCGTCAATGCCTGGTTTTCCAGGAGGTCCACGAGGTCCTTGTGGTCCANCATCACCTGAATGAGAAATTCTCATGAAGGGTGAATGTCGATCATTGTTCCAGTTCAGGGTCCAAGTATCTTTCAACAAAACGATCGCAAAATCCGCTGTCAAGTAAGCTTCCGGATGTAGATAGAAGAGAACCAGCTGGACGAACGCAAACTGTAGGGGCTGAATAATATGGATCAATGAAACATTCATTATTAAACAACCAACCTGGTTCTCCAGGCTCTCCGGGCTCAAGTGGCTCGTCGGGAGCATCTTCACCGGGTGGTCCTTGTGGTCCAGCTGGTCCAACAGGTCCTGGTGGTCCGGGTGGGCCCGGGGGTCCTTGCTCGCCTGGTGGTCCATCAATTCCGGCATCTCCACGTGCTCCATCTGGTCCTGCTTCTCCTTGTGGTCCTGGTGGGCCAGGCGGTCCGGGTGGTCCTCGTGGGCATGGCTTACATGGTGGTGGTGTGATCGGTTCGCACGGTTGGCTTGGTGGTCGTCCAGGATTACCAGGTCTGCCGGGTGCTCCTGGCTTGCCAGGTTTTCCGGGTCTACCTTTTGGTCCTTTCGGACCAGGTGGCCCTCGAATGCAACAATTGCGGCATGCGTCGTCGGCCTGACGAGCCGTTCGATTGTGTGCCATCTCCGGAACCGGGGCGCTTTCAAGCTGACCGACGTCGATCCAGGTTTGTTGCGCGCTTTGCTGAAATTTTAGCACATGGATCTGAACTGAACGAGAGCATTCAACTGAATATACATCCGATGAAGGGATATTCTGATTCGATGGCGAGTAAAGTGTTATACATCTCAGTCACCTTTCAGATCATCATTCATTTTTTGGGAATTAGCAATTCAGCAATTTTCACTAAATTTCAGTAACTCGCATATTTTAGACCGATCGATTCCTTTGCAGCTTTTCGGATTATCTTTCGAGCTGATTCCAATACAACTTTCTCGGGGCTGATCAGCCACTACATATTAATCACTACCATCACTCCGTAGGTAGAATTCAGGGTATTAGTTCGTTTTAATTTAGTTTTTTGTTACCACGGATGTCACTGTAATCATCAGTCGAGGACAATGCAGTAAAGTAATCTGGGATCGAACTACTTCTTGTTCTGCAAAAATTGATCCGACTGACCAGCGGAGGTCATTTAGGGATTGACAACTGTCAGGAGCAGTAAAATTCATGTAAAATTGCTGAATATTTGTGAGAGGGGTTGAAACCTTCAATCGCCTCCTTAAATTACTAAAATGTATTCTTGAGACATATTTCAGGTTGTATTCGAATGAGTTCGGGTGAGTGAATTCACTTGCAGCTATACCGAAACTGTGCTTAGAATCACAGTCGCATTTTTGAAGCGATTAAAAATGTTGAAGGAAATGATCCAATGATCCAGTGCAGATGAAATTCAAACGGTTAATATTGACTGCTATCCGAAAGCAACAATTCCGGAAAACGACAAGCAGCTGCGAACAGTACTTCAAAAGTGATATTGAATCACAAAAAANAAAAAATGTATTCACCTTACAGATCGTGATATCAGTGAACATTTGCATACGAACATGTCGGATGTAGTTGTAAACCATTGGAAGTGTGATCGTAACCGAGATAATGGCTACTACTGAGAAAGTAATAGCCGAGTAGGCTACAAAACGATATGCCTTGATACGGCTTTTCACATCATCCATTTTGGAGATATCTGCGGTGTTGTCGAGAGGTTAGACGGGTTTGCACGACTGAAGGTGGACGGGGTGTTTACGGGTGTAGATGCTGTTCAATGGATGTGCGATAAATGTCATTCGCGAATCCATCTTTAAATATATACCCAACCGCAACTACATCCTGCCAGACGAACCAGTGTGAGAGTTGCTGTCGAATCCGCCCTTGCCGATTTTTTCATCAGTCGTTTAGTGCGCCCCCTCCCCTTTCCTTCCCCGTCTCCATTACCCTTCATGCTGCATTCAGTTCCTGTTATGATGTTGACAATTGTTCAGTATGCACGCACTTTGTTTCTTTTAATGAATGAATTTTCATCTGAAAATTAGATATCAATCATCAAAAAAAAAAGACACCATCATGAACGACAAATGAGAAAGACTCTTTAATTCATTCGTTGCAATCCAACATCAGCTCAACCCATCGATCATTCAATCAATCAATCAATCANTCCAAACAAAAAAATTGAACCTTAGTTGCTGTGAAAAACTGTTCAAAAACCTGAGATTGCCTTGAGAATTTTTTCACAAAGAGATCGAAATTTTTGAAAAAGTTTATCACCTCGAGAGCTATGCGATAGGTACGATGGAGTGCACTTCTTTCATCATCTATTGCCATCAAGAAATCTTCAATATCACTAAAATTTCGCTTAATATTTCAATTATGTTAATTAATATTTCAATACTTCACTAAAATGATTTAATATTTCAATAACAGATTATCATATAACATGATAATCTTTTATTGAAATATTAAATCGTTGATTTTCTTCAATAAAAATTGACTGAGTTGCTGTTGGTGTAGAAGCATCTAACATCTAATCGAATGCATTCAAAAAGATATCGAGAAATGTCAAACTGGTGCCATATGACGAAACAGAACAGAATTGACTAGAACAAGCAAAACCAGTGCTGAACAACTTCGTTCAGCTAGCAACGGACAGAATGAGAAATGCTTCGGTTTTTTTCCAGTTTTTTTTTAAATCAGTTTTTTTCCTTATCACAAAATTTCGGTGGTTTCCCAGTTTTGAGAAATAACATTTATCGAATGCGATCGTCATTTGCAGGAAGAACCACATTTGAGCATTGCTGAATTTCTCGAAAATTATCATTTCTAGAAAAATCTTGGAATGAAACTGGAAAATTTAGTGTTGCTTAAAAACAGCGATTCTTTGACTGTCATTATAGAATTCATATTCAGTGCATTCAGTTCAGTCTGGAAAAATTTCATTTTGACCATGCAAAATTGAACTCAAATGCCTTCAATTTTTTTTGGGATCAAAAAACTTCAGTTTTATTCGAAATTCATGAAAACGGAGCCACATGAATGAGGGAGGGACTCCATTCAACATAAATGTTCACATAGCTATGGGCTGTGTGTGATTTCCTCATTGTTCAGAGAAGTTGTACGAATTGATCACTTCAATCATCTTGAGTAGATTTTGCTTCCAGCTGCGTGTAATTTCTTGCGGTAATCGTCAATTTTAACCATTTCGGCACATTCTTTGTACTGAATAAGAGAAAAACTACTGCCCACAGCGATTCATCTAAACGTTAAATACTGTTTGGTTATGTGAACATTGCAACATATTTGAGAGTTGAGTTGTTCTATTGTATGCGAATGATGATGGATCGGTTCGAGTCAACTCAAAAGTATTCATTTCGAAATGGTTTTGTGATAAATGAGTCGTCTCATGAATAAATTTTTATGTTTCGTTTCCTTGTTATCCCACTCAAACACGAATAACTCTTATCGTTGATTCGTTATCATTGTCCATTTTTTAGACGTCAATAAAAGGGTTCATTTTTTTCGGTGATGATTAATGAAATCTACTATGATTTGTTTTAATTTAGGTGAAACCGCTCGCTGAAATTATCTCTTTTCACAACAGGGATGCATACGCCCTATTGCCTTTCTATGCACTTCTTGCTGCCACACTTACTGTGTGGTGGAGATCCGTATTAACCGTTCATATCAATGAGTTATTTTTTCTAATGATATCATCTCACGAAAAATTCGACAACGTTGTCATCAATCAAATGCCATTTATCACTGCCGGATTAAAAATGCAAGGCGTTCGTTTCGTCGGGTTTTTTTTTGCCGAAACAAAATGAAAATAAAAGCTGAGTTGATCCAACCAGTTGATCGTTTTGTTGCTGTTCTCATTCACCTTTCCAGCGCTAAACATTACCTTCTCATCATATATCCTTCAAATCAATCAGACATTGTCCATTCGCGACACTATTCTGGATTTCACTTTCCAATATGCAAACACCATATCACCGGTAACAAATTTCTGCAAAACGGCAATTTTATCAACATCGCAAAAACTTATCAACACATCGCAAGCAGAATAGCGCAGTTCTAGATCATTGGGAAAGTTCATTCAGAATCTTTAACAAATGATGGTCGGTGAGCATTGCATCGCATGAAATAAAAGCAGATGATGTTCAGGTGATTTACATCAATTTCATGCATAAAATATGGGGCTGAGCCGGGGATCGATCCCGGGACCTCTCGCACCCTAAGCGAGAATCATACCACTAGACCACTCAGCCTTAATGGAAAGGTGTTAATGCTCGTTTGAACAAGGAAATTTATGATGAATCTGAAAAGAATTGATTTCTGCATTGGGGTTCTACATTGAGGTCCTATCTCAGCAGAATATGCTTGAGATGGCATGAAGGTAGCCTAGATGTCAAGACCCAGAAAAAAAATTGAACTATTGGTCGACTTTACAACAACTTCTAGGAACTGCAGACACTCTATATATACATAAGGCTCAGAATAATAATAATATTTATTCGCATGTCAATATGTATAACATAGTTCTTTACAAAATATTACTGTATGACGAATATACTGCCCCAAATATTGCTAGAATGTTAGGTGGACATTTGAGTGCCTCATAGTAAGTGTTGAAGGAAGTATTGTTACCCAGCAGCATGCAGATGTTTTTGATTTATCGAGTGTGCTGGGCATTTACCATTGAGACAGAATAAGTATGTTGTTGCTGATACTAAGCTTTTTGAGATTTTGGAAATGATGCTTCCATTATATGGAGGCACTCTGTACCACGGAAGAGCTCTGGATGACCAAGTCACATCGAAAAAAATCCGGATGATGCAACTCCGATAATAATCGCCGTTGAAAATGATGATCGCTGCGTAAGGTGGGTCACGAACTACCCAAATACCGAAATCACATCGGTGACGGGCTACCGAGATGGTACCGCAAAATTCTGAATGTACGTTCAATAAACAAATTTATTCATCTCTAAATTGTTCACTACGCTTTCGCTTTCCCATTTTATCACACACCATTAAATGGGGAGAATTCGATGATTCTTGTGATAATTTACAGTCTCTAACGATTGTTGAACCTGCTGAGAACATGGCATCTGATGGAAAGCGCTCGAAGCATCTAATGAAAGCCATGCTGCTGCAATTTTTTGTTCCAAACGATAGGTAACTTAGAACCATCTTGAGATATGTCTTAGAATCACAGCCAATCCTGCTGGCTGAGG